TTTTAGTACGACCGCATACGTACGTAAATAATAAAAAATGTTTTTGATACACAAGCCCCGTATTTCAGTCTGGATTCGTACCTATAAAAGGACTTACATGGTAATGTGCGCAATTGAACCGAACAGTTTTCAATTCCATTTTCAATGCAGCCGTCTTGAAAATGGCGAGTTTATCCAATATGGGATAATGCAATTGAAAAGATTCCAAATGATTTTAGATATATTTAAAAGTAGATAGTGTTTTGTATTACCTTCTGATTGAATTTTTATTGTGAAACTTTTCCTTTTCGTACGATATTTCGTAGCATCGCGTGTCGGTAAATAAAAAAATCGTCAAAAATTTAAAAACCTTTTTACAGTTCATAAACTTCGTAGAAAAGTCAAGGAAACATTTGGAACATTTTATAGTTATTACACAGTATTGCAAAAGTTTTGAACAAAGTTGCAATATATACACAATATTCTCCCGAAAATGGTATAACCTATATACGTTATTTAGTTCTCTAAGAACGATTTTCTCCCATAAGGGCTGACCAATTTGCTCGCTAATGGCTTTTTCAAACGATTTTTTCTCCAGCTTCGTTTTTAAAGCCTTTATTTATTTTCAAATTTACGTTTATAATGGATTTCATATATCCTTGTTGTGGATACCGGACTTCCTTTTTAATGTGAAACGTAAAAGCGTAGGGCCTGATGTCTTTAATGTTTCAGTTAAACTTAAAATTATCAGAACTTAATTTCTTGAATTAATCTATACTTTAAACAAGCTTTAAATACACAAATTTCCAAAATACAGCAGTTAATAATTTGTATCCAACCTGATGCGCATAATAAATCACTACTAAAAGACATATAGTTAGTAGTTAGCAAATCGCCGGTTCTGGCACATACCCATTATTTTGAACTCGGCTGCACGCCCCCACAAGCCCCATTTGTTATTGAATCTTACACATATCCAGTGATATCACACTATTTTATTATTCCTTTTTTACCAAAAATCGACTACACCAAAATTTCTCGGGAAATTTCTTATTAATTTTGGTGCGTAGAATCCAAAACAATTCGTACTTTTTCGATCAGACTTCTCAATCAAAAGTTATAGACTAGAAAAGAATTCAAAGGGCTGTAACTTTTGTACTAGTAGCCCAATCTTGGAACTGTTTGAAATTATGGATTCTACAGGCCACATTCTATGGAAAAATTTTTTTCCGGGTCGATCTGACACAAATTTTTTTTCGGGCCTCAAAAAAAGGCAGTGTATAACCTTCCTTTATTACCAAAAATCGACTGCACCAAAATTTCTCGGGAAAACACTTTTTCTTATAAATTTTGGTGCGTCGAATCCAAAACAATTCGTACTTTTTCGATCAGACTTCTCAATTAAAAGTTATGGACTATACTACATTCATTATAAGAAGGTAGTAGATGGCGCTGTGTTTGAAGATAAACACACACAGGAAAAATATAAAACGGCACCAAATTATTGTAAAGTAGAAATATTCAGCACTGTGAACAGAAATAAACCTTTGACCTTTGACAATAACAGCTGACGCTTCGGCAGTTTAGTTGGCAACATAAACTACCACCTTACAAAATTCACCAGTTGTTTTATGTTTCATTGTAATACTGACTCATGTTTTAACCAATCACAGTGAAGGTCAAAGCTTCCCTATGCTTTCTACCGCTACCTTCTTAAAATGAATACAGTATAGAAACCAATTTCGAAAGAAAATTCAAAGGGCTGTAACTTTTGAACTAGTAGCCCAATCTTGGAACTGTTTGAAATTATGGATTCTACAGGCCACATTCTATAAGAAAAATTTTTTTCTTGGTTGATCTTAGACAATTTTTTTTCGGGCCTCAAAAAAAGGCAGTAACCTTCCTTTTTTACCAAAATTCGACTGCACCAAAATTTCTCGGGAAAACACTTTTTCTTATTAAGTTTGGTGCGTAGAATCCAAAACAATTCGTACTTTTTCGATCAGACTTC